CCTTCATTATTAAGAGTTGATCTCATTTAATAATTTCGATTGTATAATATAATGTAATTTAGATTACACAATATTTTTTCATTAATCAATTCATTATCTTGGTTGCAAAGATTGAAAGTTGAGGTTCCTCTTGGAGTTGGGATGGCTTTTTCTTTAAAAACTTGTATAGTTGTGTGTTTCGTAAGCATGTTTAACAGCTCGAATAAACCCTTGGGACTTTAGGCAGATACCAGAGATACAGGTGTGCATTCCTTCCGAGGAGGGGACGAGTCCATTCTTTTCAGCTAATTTGACGAATAATAAATCAAAAAGTAAAGCAATTTATAATGGAATTAGATTAAGGTTTAGGTCATCATTGCTTGGTCAATAAATAACTTAGATCTGATCTATAAAAGCAACGAAAGAATAAATTTTTCATAGCAGTACGCATTAGGGAGGGAACTAGGGGCGCTAGCATACTTCTATATATCTGTGGATACTTGTTACATACACTAATAAATAAATAAATGGTATCCAATATAAAAAAATAAAAAAAATATTTTATAATTTAAATTGTATTATATATATATATAAATGATAAAATACAAACTTTTAAATAAAGAATAAATCTTTAATATAAAGAATCATCCTCTTATCTAAAATTTCCTGTTGTATAATTCAATACCTTTTAAATTGCAGAACAATAGATAAAAAAAATACATATTATATCTCTTAATTTTTAGTTGTCACATTTATTAAAAATAAAAATGAAAATAACATTTAAAATGTTAAAATTATAGTTGTTAAGACGTCTTAATTTTTTATTATTTCTTTATTAAATAAGTTTCCACACTTTTTAGTTTTATAAATGCAGGCATTAAATGTTTTGTTCTAATTTTATCCTTACTAAAGGTTTTAAAGAAATTCTTTATTACACATTTTAATGGAAAAAAATTTTAAAGTATAATAATAATTGTACCTTCAATTTTTTTTTTTTTTTTTGTTAAATTTCTCTTTTATAATACCACATAAAAATGTTACAACTAAAAATAAACCAAAGCGTTATCTAGTGCAACTACGGTATATACTTATTTCAAAGCTAAACAAGTATGCTTTTAGCAAAGATGCAATCTGGGTAAATTCTCCATACTTTTTCTTTCGAAAGATGGCACTTTAAACAAAGCATATTTGTTGGCCCAAAAAAACAAAATAACAAAGCATATTTAACGTCTTTGCTCCATCAACATCACAGGATTACAAATACTGTACAAAGCCCCTAGTAAACTAGCCCATACACTTGTCTTTCTACTAAAACAAACCTGCTTCACAAGCAATGCTCCATCAACATTACAAGAGGGGGCTCAGACTGCAAGAACTATAAACCATTCAGTTTCTTAGCGCATTGTTTCTTCTTGAACAAAAGTAAGCGCCGGCCACTGCACCAACAGCCAGTGCACCACCGGCCAGCACGCCACCCAAAAGTAAAGCATCTGCTAAGTCTGAAATATTTTGCCGAAGCTTAATTCTCTTGTTTTTCCAGCTGTCAGAAAAGAACATGAAAGCTTTGAATCAGTCATATAAACCTAAACTTAAAACATTGTTAATATGAAATGATTACAAATTAGGGATGATGTTCATTACCAAATGTAGTAATGGTAGAAAAAATCTGCATACAGGGCTGTTTGCACAATAGCAGAGACGCCAACTGACAACATTTAGATGGAAGTGAGAATATTATGCATGGAGGACAGGAGGAATAAATGGAAATGGATTCTTTTTTATTACTGAAAGAGTATACCTATCCATCGACTGAAATGCTGCTCAGTGAAATAGCAATAGATCCAGAAGAGAATGTAGAAAGCACAGTAAGCTCTGCAGGTTAAGGCTTGTTTTGTGAGTACAGCACAAAAAGAAGTATGTAAGAAAATGCCCAGTAGTATATAAGAAGTATGCATACCCCAGAGAGAATACATATTGTTTATTTAAATTATCCACGTCTCCACTTCTTTGCAGCAAAACTATCTGGGGAAGTATCGCAACTGCCTCCAAGCATATTGAAAATGTCCAGAAGATCTGAACAGTTGAAAAGAAGTTTTAATAGCTATCATATTGAAATTTTCAGATTCACGTATGAGAAAGAGGAAGATTTAATAGTCATTTCAATCATCTCTTTATATTATTATTTTTGTAAATTTTATGCATTATGTTTGATATGATAGAATAGAAACAACATAATGGTAAGTGAACATGACAATGAAGAGTAAGAAAAATGCAATTTTGCCATCAAAGCCAGCTCGTGCATAATCATCTCAATGTTCAACATACATGATAGAACTTACTCAAGAGGGCAATGACATGAAGGAAACCAACTCTGAGGCATTCCTTAAAATAAGTGAAGTTTTAGAGAGGAAGGCAGCAAGTAAGAACCAAAAAAATACCATCCTCTAATCTAAGGAGTGAAAGAAGTGACATTGGTCAGAGAACAAGAAGGAAGATTTACCAAGTTAAATATGGGGTACAAATTGCATTAAGCGGGGATTTTCACTCTTTTAGACAAATCTAGTTGATTCAATGCATACCTCTGGGAACACAAAATTGCACTGGAAAGTTGAAGCACTTTCCTCAGGAGTCAAGTTAAGCAAATCAACATTCATAGGCGAATATTGATGATGTAATTGTGAATGGAACTCGCATAGTCAAAGCAGTAAAATAACAGTCATGACAAATGAATAGTGAAGTATAAGGGCAATGAAAAATCAAAGGCATGCACCCACAATAATATATCTCCGTTGAAGATTCCCCTCGCTAGTTTTTAAGAAAGGTTAGTATTTCCAACGGCCCTGGAGAAAATCTCACGATTGAAAAATCATGCTGTTAACAGGCAACACTAACTTTCTATGGTAGCAAAATTGATATTTTGGTCTAATTATTAGGACCAAGAACTGGATTCTGAACGAGGAAAAGAAGGCCACGGTAAACTGTGTGAAGTTCACAGCAATTTGACAGAAGCAACAAAATGATTTCATTAACATGTATTTCATGCCACAATATAGAATTTGGATCAAAACCTAATCATTCACCAAAAGGGTAAAAAGGCATGAAATGGAAAAGCTTCCATGAAACAGATGCCACAATATAGTACCTTGGCCATCTATATTTATCATTCCCTGCCAGGGACTTTTGGTTTGGCTCATTCGTAAGAGAAATGTATTCAAGCACCACACTGGAGATGCTGACATTATATGGAGGGGTATTTCTCAGGCTATTAATTACTAGCTTTGACTATGCTAATGATATAATACCATTCTTGTTGTGAGGAACAGGACATTTATGTTGGCTGGACACCCCATCCATTAGAATAGCTGAAGGTTAATGTTGATGGGTCTGCGCATGTGGGAGCACTGGAGGATCTATCACTAATTCACACACCAGACCAGGAGGAGCCATTCCTCAATATTCATAAACAATCCCGAGACACTTCTATAAACTCTTCTATAAAGGCCAGAAAAATGCATTATAGAAGTCTCAAAATTCATCTACACAATCAAGCTCTCAAAGCATTGATTAATTAAAAGACACTGACCTCTTGGAGTGCGAACCTCTCACAAAGCAATAATGCCAAAAACAAGCAGATCGCAATAAGAAAGTCATGGCGACATGAATCAAAGTCCTTGTCATAGGAACGCTTCAGGGCCGGCTGCTCTCTCATGCACGAAACAACAGCAAGAGAGCTCGCAATGAACACTAACTTCACGATTGTGTGGTACAGAGGTAAAAATAACCGAGCCAAAAACACCAGTAAGTATAGCTCCTGAGTCTTCATTGAAATCCCTACCTCAGAAGAAAATACAAATCAAGTCTCAAATAATCAAATAATTCAAAGCTTTTAACAAGGAAAAATCGCTGAATCGAGATTAATTACACAAAATGGCTTCAAAATGTTTCGGTTTCTTCTAATTTCCACGTATTTCTTCCATCCTAACACAAGAATTTAAAGAAGCAGAAATTGAACGCAAGATTCGTTTTCTAGTAGACCTAAATTCACTGTTCTTTCCCGGGAACCATACGGAAAACGAGCAGGGTGGAGTAGAGTTACCTGAGCAGGACTGGGTAGCAGAGATTCTGAAGAGCAGCATTAAGATGCTGATCAAATGTGTCATATCGCCTGCAAATCTTAAGATGTTCATCGTGTGTTTTAGCCGTCCCGATCGAATCTGGAGCGAGAAAACGGAGACAAAGAATGGAGGATTGTGGTTCGGTGAGTGAAAGTGAAGTGGGACGTGAGGGCGAAATTACGGGGAAGGAAATGAAAAGCCGAGAAAGACAATTTCATTCCAAGATTCCACGAAACCTTACCGAAAAGCAATACCTAAAAAGGAGGAGAATACGATCATATTACTCATTGTAGAAACTTTACCACCAAAAGCAAGATGAATCATTAGAGACCAAGGCAATTTCAAATCTCCGTACAATATTCTTTCTCATCTTCCAATCATAAACATTATGTTTTCTTCTTCAACCTTTTGTGTCCTTTCCCACCAAGTTTCCTTCCTGACTCGAAGAAATTAAGGACGGAAGTGGTAATAACTTCTCCCTCCATGCACTCTTCTACAATTTATCACTTCACTTGGGTCGGTACGGACTTAAGCGAACTTTGTTTGAGGTGAAAATGGTAAGTATTGTTCGGAAGACAACATCTTTCTGCAATAGTAAGTACTCCCTCTCTCCCAAGACAACAAAAATATAGTTATTTTGCAACGGAGTTAGTTACCAAGTGACCCCTTATAGATAAAAAAAACCTGTAGGACACTTTTACCTTCTACTAAACCTAACGTATTCTGTAAGAGGGTTAGGGACACTCTAGAATGCTTCACTTATACTTACAGATGGCTAAAACCAAGAGCAGTTGAAGATATCTCAAAAGATTTTAGTAGTGCCGTAGAAAATGGTACCTTCAATTCAAGAGCCGTAACTGATAATGTAATCATTGCAAAGCAAGAAATAGCAAAAACAAGGTTTCCAACTTCTAATAATAACAATTTCTCTGCCTGTGTGCTGTTTAACATGCGTAAGTCTATAACGGGGATAACAAGTGAGTAAATATTGTCGAACTGTTCTCTTGATCTCAATCTCTAGCATTGGGGTGTTAACAAGGTGGAACCTACTTGCATCCTCGAGTTTAACAAAACTGCCATTACACGCATTAGCACCACCTACCATTTCCCTAAAAGAGGCAGCTAGAGCTTAAAAGCCAAAGAAGCCAAGTTCACTGGCTCTCTCTTTCTCGAAGGTCTCAAAGTACTGATAGATTATGGTAACTGCAAGCAATATTCCCGTCCCTGAGCCAATTGCTCCCATGAAATCCGCCAAGACTGTTAATGCACCAATGCACATTCCTCCAAAAGCAGCTGCAGTAGGTATGTAGCGGTTCAGTTCCTTCTGTAGATTTGAATCTCTGTGTCCAGGCATCACCATTTGTTGTTCCTGTTGTTAAAAGGACAGAGATATCAAATGTGTTATCCAAGAAATCTACTCCCCAATCCTATTGGATTGGATAGTGGAATATACATTCTAAAGGACTCTCTCACATTACAATAAAGAATAAGCACCTATATGCCACCCCAAAAATAAAAAAGACCAAACAATATGAATGCAAGAAGTGAATTTGTTATATTCAATTACCTTGAGCTGCTTAGCGACATCTTTTGCAGAAGACCCAGACACTTCAATCCAAGTTTTTGAGAACAATGCACATGCCGAGAGCATAAACACAAGATAAAATAGAGCATGGAATGGATTAGCTGCCATGTCTGCCAAACTGGTAACATCCAAACAGATAAATTGTGCATCAGAATAGCAACAGACAAAAACTAAAACATGCATACCTCCAAAGACATGCACTTGTGAGTTGCGACCTCAAATATAACATGCAACAAAAATAATTATATATGAAATGGCAGCAGGATGGAAAGCAATTTTACCTTGCTGGGGCAGTAACATAGTAAGCTAGACCACCAACAGGAATAAACTGGCCACCAGAGTATTCAGATTCCTTCCACTTCCCCAACAGATTCACAAAGAAATTTCCACTGTACTTCCTGTACAGCAACTGTACAACAAGATATACTTTTAGAGGTCTGCAACAAATTATCAATACAATGAAAGTCTTTTTTCCTTGTTATTAATCATATTGAGGTCAGGAAATACCTGGGAGATAAAATAAAGATTTGAAACAAGGGCAGACTGAAGAATGATGGGCATGTTGGAGGTATAGAAAAGCTTAATTGGATATGACCCTTGTTGTCCACGGGCATTCTTTGATCTGACAGGCAAAACAACACGGAAACCTTGGAAGTATATGACGATAAGGAAGATCAACACGGTAGCAAGCAAATTAGTAACATTTGGAAGATTTTGTCTATAGAATGCCTCGCGAAGTGCTCGAACTTTGTCTGTCCTTGTTATCAGTAGATGGAACAAGGCAATAACAGCACCTTCAAATTCAGCCCCCCGACCACTGTTGATGGTTGTAGGGCTAAATGCTTTCCAAATAATGTTCTCACTGCATGGTCAATCAAAATTACAATCATCACACCTGTCATTCCATCAAGTGAATCTTAAAATGAAAATAAAGTAAAGAAAAAAAAATTAGCATACCAGATATTGGTGGCAATGAAAAGGGAAATCCCAGATCCTAGACCATATCCCTTCTGGAGAAGTTCATCAAGGCAAATAACAATAATTCCAGCAAAGCATAGCTGAATGATGATGAGAATTGCATTCCCAACACCAAGTTGACTAACACTGCCATACATACCAGATAGTACATATGCCACAGCCTCACCAACAGCAATAAGAATGCCCAACAACTTTTGAGCACCATTTCTGCAATAAACCCGGGACAACAAATTTACTACAGATGCAAAGAATTATTATTTCAAAGGCAAAAATAAATACAGTTGGACTGCTACAATGCGAGCAAGGACGAAATGAGAAAAGACATGGCCTAGGAATACAATTATTGTCAATTTGCTTTCATTGTGCCTTGTTATCTCAATTATAATAATATTTAAACAATATGAAAGACATCAGCAGCAGAAAAGTAAAACATGCATAGCATGTCGTTGGACCAAGACATCCTGACTTCAAATATTTATAGGATGATACAGAAAACAAAACCAACAAAAAAGTGATCGCTCAACTAATTAATAGCAATTAATAGTACTTACAACAGCGCACGATCCTCACGGACACTGTTGTCCACTTCAATAATCTTAGAACCAGCCAAGAGTTGCATCACCAATCCAGATGTGACAATGGGGGTAATGCCAAGTTCCATAACAGTTCCACGGTTCGAAGCAAGGATAACACGCATCCAATAGAACGGATCAGCACCGGTGGTAGAATGTATGCCATAAAGTGGAAGCTGACTGCAAACCAAAAAGATGAACAGAGAGATCACAGTGTAAATGACCTTCTCTCTGAAAGGCACTTTCCTGTCGGCACTCTGCACCTCCGGCAGAAACGAAAGGAACGGTCTGACCAGATGCAACACTCTAAATCCTCCTCCCATTATTGACTCCCTAAAACTGAAACACCACCATATCAGCAATTCATTAGCCAACGAATTTATCCTGATTACCTTATTCAGAGCAACAAAAAAGACACACTACATGCAAGTTTCAGATTGAGAGAATAAAAAACCAGCAGATCTACAATTCAATTATTCAAATCTAGGTAATCCGATACGAGAAATCCATCTATATTCGCAATGTAAACAGATCTGGACTCGATTCCCAGTGAAACATGTTCCCGAGAAACAAACAGCCGACAATTACAAAGAAAAACACAAAATAAAGAGGAATCCGTAGCTTACGATGAGGAGTTCAGAGCAGATCTGTACAGATCGGGAGTCTTCAAACTGAATCGAGCACTCAGAAATAGACAGGCTTAAAAGGAGATGACAATGAGAATCCCTCGTGGGGGAGTTAAGAATGAGAGCTGGGCTGTTTAGACGGCGGAAGAGAGTTCAGATTTGGCCCTACCTTTGTTTCTTTTTTTTAATCTCCTATGGAGGAATAGGGAAGAAATCGCCACGATGTGGTGACCAATACTGTTTCGACACGTGTGTTTGCTGCCTTGTTAGACATTATATATGGGTTTGGGCCATTTTCGGCCTTCTCCTCTTTCATCACTATGGTAAATATCCATTTGGGCCTGTTCGGCTTAGTCCGTGGCTCGGTAACATTCAGGACTCTTCCAAGAAAATCGGTCGTCGGTGGCCCAACTTTAAATACTGTTTGGGATTACCCCTTTTTTTTTTTTTTTTTTTTTGAGGAAATGGGATCACTTTTTCTTTGGTGTCACGGCTACGGTATTTTTGGGTTTTTTATTTTTAAAAAAAATTTAGAACAAAGATGAAAAAGGAATGGTTTTTCAAAAATGATTGCATCAAGAAAAAAAATTTATATTTTAAAATATTAATAAAATCCTGGAAACACTAATGTCTTCTTGATTTGAAATCAACGAAAAACACGTTATTTCATCTAATTAAATTAAGTCTATGACCCAAGCGCAAATCATTTCTCAAACAGAGTTAAAAATTTTTTCTTTTAGAACAAAGATGAAAAAAGAATGGTTTTGCAAAAAAGAATTACGTAAAGAAAAAAAAAATTATATTTTAAAATATTAATAAAATCCTGAAAACACTAATGCCTAACTTGATTTGAAATCAAAGAAAAAAAATGTTATTTCATCCAATTAAATCAAGTCTATGCCCCAACCGCGAATCATCCTCAAACAGACTAGTTTATCAAAATTTCACTAGTAAGGCACTCCCGGCAAGGGCTACAATGAAAGAGTGCATCTTAGATCATAGGTCCTACCATAGTTGAAATCCTTGTGATAAAATTTCCTCTCTCAATTTCCCCATGTTCCAAAAAAAAAAAAAGCACTAATAGGAAACTCAGATAATAAAATTGAAGCGAGTTTCTTTTCTTTTCTTTCCTTTTTAGGCTATATTGCAAATAAATGAAACAGGAAAAACAGAAGTAGAATCACCAGGATCTGGCAATTCGATTAATGGTATTGGTACAATTTATGTCCATCTACAGACTACAATGTTAGTTCACTCCACCTTCTCAGCCTCCCATCCTTACAAGTTAAAAATCACTGGAAGGGGCTCAAGCTACAAGGACCATAAACCATGTAGTTTCTTCTCAAACAACAATACAAGTATGAATGTAGCCAACCAGTATGTCACTTAAAAGTAGTAAAAGAAGCTTATAGCAGTGTTGAAAGTTTTTAGAAACATCTTCGCTTGGCTTAAGCTGGCAGCTGAAGCTTAGCGTTGTTCTTCCAGCTGCCAAAATAGAACAAGCAAATTTTGAGTAAGAAATATAAATTTAACATTGTTAATATGAAATGATTACAAAAAGTTAGTGGTGATAGTCATTATTACCTAATGAAGTAATAGTAGAAAAAGTCTGCATAGAGAGCTGTTTGGACAATACCAGAGACGCAAGCTGACAACATTTAAATGGAAGTCAGAATATTTTGGCAAGCAGAACATGGGGAATAAACAAATTTGTTTTATTATTGAAAGAGCATACCTATCCATCGACTGAAATGCTGCTCTGTGAAATAGCGATAGATCCAGTTGAGAATGTAAAGGGCACGGTAAGCTCTGCAGGTTAAACCTTGTTTTGTGAGTACAGCACATAAAAGTTCAACATTAGAAATCAGAATCATGAAGAGGACTTCTCTGAGTTAGCAAGAACCAAAGTACTTGTATAGACCCTATAATGTCATGCTATGTATGTTTATTCACGCAAATTATGGAGAACAGGAAACCACCAATTACTAGTGAAATAGAGACCAAACGCTCTTCTTGGAAAGTGAATAAAAAAATATGCATACCCCAGAAAGAATACATATTGTCCAGTTAAATTATCCACATTTCCACTTCTTTGCAGCAAAATTAACTGGGGAAGAATCGCAACTGCCTCCAAGTATATTGAAAATGCCCAAAAGATCTGCAACAGTTAAAGAGGAGATTTAATAGCAATCATATTGCAGCTCTCACATTTACGTGGAAGAAACAGGAAAAGTGTATGATGTAGTCATAATCAAGATATCAGCAGATACTTTGATAACAGCAAAATAGGAGTGGCATTGGACCCATCCAGCAGTGACTGGATAAACAAAGTCAATCTGATATTGAAATAATTTAGGAACATAGCATTTTTTAAAGACCAATCATAAGGGAGGTGTTGGTGATAAAATATTTATACCAAATCCAACCACCCCAGTTTATCCAACCATTCCTCATGTCATGTATAGCCATCATTATTGTCTAAACATGACACAAGATAACATATGGCAGCAAATAGGACTCCTCAGTCCTCACTCATAAAATATTTTGTTACTTCTCCTCATAATACCTGCCACCATTATCTTGCTTAGTCATTCCAATCATCTCTTTTATTATTTTTTTACCATCTTTATGCATTATGTTTGGTATAATAGAATGGAAGCTACATAATGGTAACCAAACAGCCCTCCCCCATCAAAGTCAGCCTGAGCATAATCATCTCAAAGTTCAATATACATTATAGGCTTACTCAAGGAATGCAATGGTAAGTCACATTCCCACAAAGGACGCCAAATTCAATGCAGTCCTTAAAATAGGTCATGTCCCATAGTCCTAGAAAGGAAGGCAGCAATTAAGAACCAAAAAAAAATAGCATATCCTAATCTAGGGGAAAAAAAGAGTAAAAATGGTGGGAGAAGAAGGAAGATTTGCTAAAATTATATATGGGGAGGATACAAGTTACATTAAGTGGGGATTTACCCACCTTGAGGAGCACAAACTTTGTTTTAGAAAGTTGAAGCACTTTCCTCAAGAATCAAGTTAAGCAACTCAACCTTCATGGGAAAATACTGAGGATGTAATAGTGAACGAACTCATATATTCAAAGCCAAAAAATGAACGGTTATGATGAACATCAAATGAATATTGAAGTTCAAGGAAAATGAAAAATTCAAGTCATGCACCCACAATAACAAAATCTTGATTGATGGTTCCCCTTATCAATTCTTAAAAATGGTTAGTATTTCTAATAGCCCTGGAGAACATCCCATGATCAAACTCATGCTAACAAGCAACACTTTCTTCACTAGCAAACTTGATATTTTGGGCTAATTGTTAGAACCAGGCACTGGATTCTGAATGAGCAAAAGAACTTAACAGGGAAACCATATGATGAGCATGCTAGCATGGTAAGTACTAAGAAGCTTATCTCTCCATCTAAACAATCACCCGGCACAAAATGATTACACAGTAAGATGACAGGTAGCAACAAAATGATTTCATTAACATGAATTTCATGCCACAATATAGTACTTGCATCAAAGCCTAATCATCCAGTAAATATGCCTGAAATGATAAGGCTTAGCTGCCTAAAAATTTGTAGTCCAAAAGGTTCTATCACAAGTTCACACCCGAAAACGAATCCTTCCTCAATATCCATAAACAATCCCAATACTCATAATTTATCCACACAATCAAGCTCTCAAAGCACTGATAAATTAACAAACACTGACCTCTCGGAATGTGAACTTCTCATGTACCAGAAGTGCCAAAACCAAGCATGCCACAATAAGGAAGTAATGGCGAAATGTGTCAAGTTCCCTGTCGTAGGAACGCCTCACGACAGGATGCCTTCTCATGCACCAAACAATTGCAAGAGAGCTCGCAATGAACACTATCTTCATTATGGTGTTGTACACAGATATGAACTCGGTGAACAGATCCACGTACCGAGCTATAAACACCAATGCGTATAGCTCCTGAGTCTTCAACGAAATCCCTACCTCAGAAGAAAACAGGATTTCAAACCAAATAAGAACAAAAAAATTATCAAATCGCGCTGAATCGAGCTTAATGTCACAAACTGGCTTCAAAATGTTTGGTTTCTTCCATTTTAACCCAAAAAATCTAAAAAAATACAGAAATTAGACGCGAGATTCGTTTAGCAGCAGACCTAAATTCTGATGCACGTATCAAATTCACTTTCTGGTGTTTTCTCGGGAACCAAACGGAAAATAAGTAGGCTGAAGTTACCTGAGCAAGATTTGGTAGCATAGATTTTGAGGAGCAGCACTAAGATGCTGATCAAATGAGTCATATCGCCTGCAAATCTGAAGATATTCATCGTGAATTTTGCCTGGATCCAAGGAATTTGCCAATTTAGAGCAACGAAACGGAGACTCAGAGATAACGGGTCAATCCCTAGATTTCTGAGGAATGAAAAATATGTAAGGAATGAGGAAGACGAAATAAATAAGAAGCTTTTTTATTTTGATATTTGGGTACGAAATTGAATGAAGTTTTTTATTTAATAATAAAAAAAATATTTTACATTCGATTCGATTTTATAAATTTATTAAAATATTTTAAATAAAATAAAAAAAAAGTGTGGAAGGAATAAAAGACTTCACTTCCCACAACAAAAATCCATGAAATTCTCTCGAGCATATGCAATTCATTCTGCATCAATTATCAAGATCACG